CGCACAAGCAATCGCGATCACGACGTAAAAATGCCGGTCATAAACGGGAGCGCTTCCGGAAGGGTGCGAGCAGGATTTCGACACTCGGAATGCGATCGACGCAGCTTGATCTTCGCCTGGCGTGCTACGCCTTCGCTACTCCGTTTCATCTACCCGTGGATCGCGACGGACGCTGCCGGTTATCGAGGCAAATCAAGTGGCGCGTAAGCGTCACGTCGGCATTCGGAAGGGGCGTAGCGCGATACGCGCAAGGGGAAGCGTTGTCACGTGACACATTCACATCGCTGGATTGGTTGATATGGCCGGTGGCGTCCGCTTGTGTCCATCGTTAGGTGGAGCGAACACTTCTGATCGACGAGGCGTGCGGTTCGAAGCAAGTTTTGTTTCGTTGACAATCAAGCAAACGACGTAAAACGAGGCCGCGAAATCGTCGCAAAGCATGAACTGCCATCGTGCTTGCTCGAATCTCGGGGTTAAAATATCGTTTCAAAAACCTTTCGTCAAAAAAAAAAAAAAAAAGCGTTTGGAAGGGGCGCAACTTTGGGCTTTGCGTAAACATGCGTTCGCGGATCGCGACCCCCCTATTCTAGAATAAACATTGCTCCCAAAAAATGGTTCTCCCATCAGCGTTCTCGCATGATGCGGGCAGGGAACAAATATCGCTGCCATCTAGGGGTGAAGCATGCGAACGGTACAGCCCGCGCGCTCAGTATAATAACATCCTGTATATGCCGACTTGCTGCGCACTCTCAGAACTCCAATCTTTCTCGTTTAATTCGTTTAGCTAATAGACCCTTTTCGGAAATGCGCGCCACCTGGTTAGCTGTGTTGCGTCCATTATCCGACACGAGAGCCGTGTCAGCGTTCCGGGCGTGTGGAGTCGGCTCAGTTCGCACGGAGAACGAGTGTTGCGTCATCATTTGGCAAACATTCCGATTCAGTCACACGCTCCGTGTACAATAAATGGCAAACACCAACGTTGCTCGACGGAGTTTTGAAAAGTGTCTACTAGAAGGGCGAGAAGTGTCACTCCCGTTAGTCAAACAATCGCAGTAACAAAAAAAAAAGTATCTTGTTTTACCCCATTGGGAATGTATGATGATTGGTGCGTACCACCAATCATTCTTCTCGTTGTGTGAAATGATGAAAAGAAGACCAGCGATGCGTCGCTCGGGTACATCGCTACGCAGCGTACACTTGGGTGACTTTAAGTGCACAAAGGAAAAGACAGCGCCAAAAAGGGTTACACAAAGTGAAGAAAAAAAAAACATTCTGAGCGAAAAGCCTGAACCTTTGCTAGCAAAACTGCACACTCTAAGAAAAACTGGAACGTGTACTTTACCGCGAAGCGGCTGGGGGTGCCAATCGTGGCACTCTATACTGAGGGCAGCACTCGGCGGATGGCTGAAAATATGCTTAGACCTTAAAAAAAAAAGAATACTGCGCTTGAAACACCGAGCATGACGTTTCAACACGCACAATGTAATCACGCATCCTGCTTCTTCTTCTTTTTTTTTAAACACATTTTTGGTTTTGGCATTCGCTAAGCTCTCTCCCTCCAGTTTGCAGCGATTGGCGTTCTCCAGCGGTTCGCGAAAAAGTATAGGCGATCCATTTTTTTTAATGCGAAAAACATTAATTGTTTTTTTAGAGCAAACTGACGTCATCAACTTTAAAGCCGCGCCGAACGGCACCTAAACCCCCTGTCCCAGTGGAGCGAAGTTCCAAGAGACGCCACCAGAGAAGCCCTCTCCATAGCGGCGCAGCGCACGCAGCGGCCCGGCCGCCGCTAAGAGGTGCGGGCCTGGCCGCACAGCCCGCTCGGGCAAACTCCGGAGAGGCTGCACGGCCGAGCTCAGCGCGGCGCGGCCACTTCTCGAGAGCGCGCGCTCGGCCGTCGGCCGCTGCCTCGGCAGTAGCGAAACGTGGCCGTCCACGTCAGTACGCCGCAGACGAACTTAGGAAGCGGGAGAACGACATTGATGCCTTTCGCATTCCCAACTCATAAAAAGTGCTTAGGTGTCTTAGGGCTTTTTATTTTTAGTGTATATCTGAGTTTTACATATTGTTTTTACACATACCACCTAGAGAAGACAAAGCTCTGCATCTTTCGCCCCCAGACGTCATGAGTAGAGTATTCACGCAGCGCCGCCTACAGTTATAGCAGGCGGCGACGCCAAAACGCACGCGTCTGCTGCTCTGCGGCCACTTTCGTGGAGGATCGGCCTGTTTGCAGCTTGGTCGTGGAGGTCGGCGGGATCCACTAACTAAATAGTTTTGTTTTTTTTGGCTTGTTTGACGTGATGCGTCAAACGTCTTGCGTAGGTCTTATTGTTTTCTACGCGGTATTGTTTTTACCCACTGTGGCCAATATTTTCGTGGTCTAAGTCGGATTTGGGTATTATAATTTTGGCGGTCATATTCCCTATTTTTTGCAGCCTGGCTATTGTGATCATACCTCGGCAAATCTCACTCATGAGGGCCCTCACTCACCCTCGTATTCACAGCTGAAGTGAGGGTGAGGGAGTTTCTGAACCAAGAATATTCATGAGTGGGAGGGTAAATGAGGAGTGTGAGGTCCTGAGGGGTGTAAGGGCCGTGAGGGCTGCGAGGGCTGTGACTGCATGAGGGGTATGAGTGCGTGAGGGCCCTGAGGGGCATGGGGGCCATGAGTGCGTGAGGGCCCTGAGGAGCATGAGGGCCATGAGTGCGTGAGGAGCGTGAGGTTCAATGATGGTGAGTGAAGGGCTACATGTGAGTGTGACTGTGAGGATGAGGGTGAGTGAGGGACTCAGGGTGAGTGTAGCTGTGAGGGTGAAGGTGAGTGAGGGGCTTAGGTGAGTGTAGCTGTTAGGGGGGGGGGGTGTGAGGGCGACCCAAAATGCCGACCTCTGATAGTGATACGGCGAGGAAGCCACAAACAGCGCTCGCTGAACCAACAAAAGCAGCTTTGAGGCTGCATGCGCGCGAACAGACTAAAAAACAAAACACAGAGCGTGCCCACGCAGACAAAGAACATATTGGTTCTACCACTACGAACGGGCATTCACCGACGAAAGTTTTCAAATAAACACCTCGTCTGTTAGCGTGGGTGAAAACGCGGTGGTTCGTCTACACAGCGAGCTGGCAGCCGCCCGCGAAGGAATTTAAACAAACACAACGTCTGCCAACGCAAGCTAAGAACAGCGTTTTTTGTGCTAAGAAGTATCATTCGCCGTACAAGGCGCAAAGACACTCTAACAATTGAAACTGGAAACAGGAAAACAACACCAAAAAAACTATAATCCTTGTGATCTTTACAGGGCGTAGTAACTACTGATGTTCATGCTTCGTGATTAGTAATTAGATTATCGGGAATCGCGGCATCCTGTGTTTCTTAAATTGTCGGAGAACTGCACAAAAACGAATCTCCAAGATTTGGAGATTCTTGTTGCGAATTGTACCTTCTCTTCCCGACCTCGGGGACTAGTATTTTTGTTAAACCAACTCGCTTGCCTCCTTGTAATAACTTAAAAAAAAAAAAAAAGAATTTTTGACATTTGAGAGGTGACTCTTTTAGCAAGGGCCCATATGCTCACGGTGGTCTCGGTGAAAAATGTGAAAGCGTGGGCAGCCTTTACAGCGAGCCAAGGATCGCTCTCTACATAGTGTAAAAACATGACGAAAACCCTCCAGACCCGCGTAGCAAATGAACAGATATCGACCAAGAATATGCGTGTTCGGTACAGATCCCAATTGAGTTTTAAGCCCGAGTTCGTAGTTATTTATTTATAAAGCCGTTTTTTTTCTTCTTAATTGAAATTTCTCGCAGCGCACCGATTCAGTCAGAAAACGAGCGCGGCTTTGCAAATCGATTCCATTGGACAAGACCTTCACAAAGAATCCACTCCACGCGCGGAAACCCACGTTTAAATCGAACATCTGTTTCGGAAAGCTGCGAATAATTCAGTGCCGATAAAACTTTCTCCCGCGCGCAATTGAACACCATTCTCTGTACGAGCTACAGCGTGACGGGCCCTGCCGGAATTGCACGGCCCTATAGTACCTCCCAATCGTTGTAAGACCGGTGAATGAACAATAAACAAACGTATAATTTTGTTTCTTTATTTGGTTTTGCCGATAAAGTCGGTTTATACAGAATACGTTTCCCCGGCATTCTCCGGAGATTGCAGGTATTTTTTTTTATATTGGTTTGTGTATAACATGTTGTTTTATTTCAAATCTTGCTTTTTTTTACGGGATGGTTGGCACGCCTCTAAACAGCCAGCTGGCTTTATTTCTACCTGGGTGGTTTCTACAATAAAAAAAAAAGGTTTCTCAGCACTAACTCTTTGAACACAGAAGCCGAACGCCGGGAACACTTTGTAGAGATACAGCCAGCTGGCTTAGCGTCCACCCACTAATTGGAGCTGCGGTATCGACCAACACACTGTTTACAAACAAGCCGGCGTTTGCCCACCGGGTGAGGGTACTGCACGCGCGCAGAAACCAGATTCGCCCGAGGCGAAGGATCTGCGCATGCGCAGTGCCTACAGCAGCGCCACCGCATTGGAGTGACGTCAAAGAGTTGAGTTTGTCGTAGGTTCGATCCCCTTTGGAGCGCGCGTTTCGAATTTCCACCTTTCTGTTCAATTTACCGCTCCTTTTGCCGAGTGTCCTCCGAAGCACCGAGCGATTTCCGTTGCAATCCGCCACACTTCCCTCGGGGTTCTCTTAGCTTTAAACAAACACATTCCGCGTTAAATAAAAATAAATAAAGGGACGGGGCCTACCTCGCGCGTGCGCGTCACACAACAAAATGGTTTGGTCGAAACCACGACGTCGGGCAAAGGGGGTGCAACGCCGGTGTATCACCGTGTCTTGCGTGGCCGCATTCCAAGACCGTGCACACATCATTACGCTCGAGCGGAAAGGAAGGAATACGCCGAGCGAAACCGCGGGTCGCCTGGAACCTCCCGGAATAGCGGCAATCGAAGGAGTGGGCAAACAGCGTGGCTTACCTCCGATCGATCCCTCATCTCCGCCCGGCGGCACAGGCCGACAAGGTCACCATGGCCAGCCCTGCGGAACAAACACACACACACCCTCAGTATGCGGGGCAAGCAATAGATTCGGACTCGGTATTCGAGAATCACGCACGTGTGTAAACATGCTACACACGAATGAAAGAAACGCGCTCAGGGACAACGCAGCCGACACGTCTGTGTTCTCCTTGTTTATGTGTCATATGTGTTAACCAGCCAAGCTCAACATTTTATTAACTTCGTAAAAACAAAAAGAAGTTTATTACTATATTTTTTTGTTTTACCTCACGACCGATCACAGCGGATGCTACGAGCTATCGGAACCGATCCAAGAGCGCGTAAGGGTTACGTGATCTTGTGGAGGGTGGCGCAGCGGCGCGCGGAGGCCTCATCACGTGCTACGTTCACAGAGCTGGAATAGCTGGGATGGTTCGCAGTCTTGTACAGGTTACTCGGAAAAAGGAATCGATTACAATTACAATTGCTTGCTTCATTTTAAAAGTGTTAAATTAGATTACTCTATTACCTGAGAAGAAATGTAACTGGACTGTGCTCAAACAGTGACCGCTAGTTTTCCGGTTACCATGACATTTTCGAAACGACAGATTGTTCTGCCTGTTTGATAACGGCCGGTCTTTCCTACTGTCCATTATTCGATTAGAATCATAAAATTATATAAAAAAATGTAATCTTCTTAATCTACCAAATTGGGTAAACCATCCTCCTGGCGGAGTCTTGGTTTGAGGATCCCTTGGTAGGGAACTTGGAGAAAGAAAGAAAAAAAAAAACAGGTTACTCTCGCGATTACTCTTTTTTTATAAATGTGTTCAAATGATAAATTTACTCAAAAGGTAATCAATTACAAGTAATTTGATTACTTGTAATCAAGTACGAGTCTGATGGCTCGTTGCTTCTGTCTAACCTCGACGTGGTCTATAGGGAGTATTCACTGGCGGCCATGGCTGTGGGCACAAATGCAGAGCGCGTGCTGATGGCGAGCATCCACAGTTCTTTCGCAACGTGCATTCCGCACCATCAACATTACCGGTCTTAGCAGCGTATTGATGTGAGCTCGTTCTGAGCATGCGCTCTAAAGAGCACCCACAAATATGGCGTCCAGTGAATACTACCTATACTGACAGGCTGCCCGCTACATCCTCGAAACACCGAGCGATGCTTCCTTTTTCATTGTTCCAGTCAAAAGGAAGGCTAACGCAGTTGCAACAGACAAAATGTATCCACGGAATCACTAGGCAGATATGGCGTGTAAGGTCAGTGAGGGATGATAACGGTCGCCGTTCCCGTTGACTGAATCGGTTCATGGCTGGTCAATGATTGGTCGAGAGCAACCTATTTTCGCTCGCAGCCAATGAGATCGCCGCTTTAGCCGATAAGGACGCCCGAGAATGAATCACGAAACGTGAGCACAATAAGCCACGCCCCTGGATTTGACGTCACGGACAGATGTTAGGTCACGCTTTGCGCAGTTCCATTTTGTTCACCGAATATTCAGCATTTCACCAGAAACTAACCATTTCTGACGTACGGAACCTAATGCATGTCGGCTATTTTACGTGTATTTTTTGTTCTTTTTTATTTTTTTATTGAAGGATAAAGACGAGAGCAGAACGTGGCCAATCCTGATTACTGAAATCGGTAGTCCCGAGCGGAAGAATGAGAGAGCCAGCGACAGAATGACATAGAAATAATGTAGACAAAATGTTAGGCGTGCTTGAATCGCCTCGACGAGTTCAAGTTGCTCGAACGCTTGTCAGCTTTTTTCTTTTTTTTATGCAATGCGCAATTTCGTAATTGTTTTGCAAAGTAAGGCAGAAAATGACTAGGCACAGACGACTAGGCACAGACCTTAGAGGTGATGTTTTCCTGCTTCCTTGTGCGTATAAACCTCGATAACAACATTCAAACCGACGCCATTTTCTTAGATTTTGCTAACGCATTTTACAATGGTTCCTCATCAACACCTAATGTTCAAACATTTCCAACTTAAGAACGCAGATACTAGCATGGATCGGTAATGTCCTGCAGGATCGCAAACAATTCGTAAACGTATATAACCATTCATGTATACCTACTCATCCGCAACCTCTGCAGCGTCCCCCATGGCACTGTCTTGGATCCCCTTTTTTTCCTTGTTTATATTATTGACCTGCCCCGTTTTGTATTTGCAACATTTGCCTATTTGCCGACGATTGTGTTGTGTACCGTAGTATTACTAATCTAAGTGATTAGGTGTTACTTCAAACTAATCCTAATAGTGTTCAAACCTGATGCAATTAGTGGCAAATATAATTAAACATTAGTAAGTGTACATTAATTTCCTTTTATGGGTGCTTTATTCCACAATAGAACAACTATTCTATCAATGAGACCATAATTCCATCAGCGCTAAGTTATAAATACATAGCTGTGCACTTCTCTAGTAACCTATCGTGGGCACTACATGTTATTCATGTCGTCTCTTAGTCTAACTGGTCACTCGGAGGACCAAACGTCACCTCAAATTCGCACCATTAAGCTTAAGACTTGCCGCCTATAAAGCACTAATCCATACAAAGCTAGAGTACGCTACCGCTATATGAGACACATTCCAAAATTACCCCAGTCATCAATTAGAAGCAATTCAAAATCGCGCACTCGGGCTCATTTTTTCTTCTAGCTATTAATATGAAGTAAGTGTCACCGGTCAAAAGGAACGTGCTCAACTAGATAACCAGTCCCTTCACCGAAAATATTTTACACTAACACTCTTTCACAAATTTCGTTACGATTTCCAGCGAAATTCACCGTACATCAGCCATCCGAAAAACACCTTATCATGCCGGCCATCCACTCAACGTAATGCGGACCAAAAACAGGAACAGTGACGTCGTCTGCTTCATTTTTCCCACGCACACAGAAAGAATAGAATAACCGTCCCCACAGCATATGTTTTCCAATCTTATCCTCTTCATTTCAAAAATAAATTGAGCGAAAGTCATGCTCACCACTTTCTCATAATTGAAAGAAGGGAAGGGGAAAAGAAAACGAAAGTGCCTTCACAATGTTTTCTTCTTGTTTGACTTCTGTTTAACCGTGTATACTTTCTTGTATCATTTTATTCCTATTGTACTTGTTGTTTTTCTTACTAAATTTAGAAACGTGAGTGTTAAAATCTTCTGCAATACCCTCCCTGAGGGGGTCTCGAAGGTCAATTGAAATAAATGAAACCAAAACATTAAAGGGATAGTCCGGTAAAAACCGGAAGTTCTTAAGATATTGTGATGGTTATCTGGCGAGAGCCCAATGATTAACATAGGCCGTTTTTATTCCATTAAACGACACCCCACTTTAGTGCAATCAATGACGAATATTTACACAAAACTCCGTGCTAAATTTCGCAAGTATCAATGCCTGCGCTCCCAAGTCTTATGTGACGTCACACCAGGCTAGCAATTGTCACATCATGCCTCATTCCTCCGTGGGAACACAGTGCTCCCGACGCACCGCAACATTCTATTTTACTCGCCACTGTAAATCTCGCGAAGAACTTTGGAACGTGAAAACCGCACAACAGTTCTTTCATTCCCAACCAAAAGTTCTAGCGCTTCAACGAGTGTGACCCACGTCGTAGCGCTTACGCGTAGGAGAAAGTTTGAAGCGCGCTTCAGTTTGCACGTTTTTTGCATTGTGTCACGACAGTGCTTCCGCTGCTCTGAAGTATAGAAGAGGAAAACGCCGTTTATGCACGCTTGGTTCGAGTACATTTACTCGTCCAGGGAAGCACACAGAATTCAGATTTGTCACGGAAGAGGCTTCTACAGCCATTGACAATGATGTCTAAACGTTTTCTCGAATATGAAATTTGACCGGACAATCCCTTTAAAGCGTCGTTAGCGATTTGGGACCGCCGATGTCCGCGTCTATGACCCGCCGTTCCGAAGCGGCCGGAATGCATGGGGCCTATCCCTCTACATTATTATATTAACTCTATGATTTGGAGGTCCTCGGGAGAGGTTGGGGAGGGGGCATTTGTTCCCCATCCGCTCACCCCCTTCAATCCACCCTACCCCCGTGCGATAATAAACTGCTGGGCCTCATGACGCCCTGCAGTTCTTAAGCTGCCGATAATTATAGTAAAATGAGATGAGATCGCCTCATGCTTTGTCGTTTGTTTACCTGGTCGTGGCTCGCATCGCAGAAGAGATGAACGGCGCTAAACGATCCCGAACGTTTCAAGGTACCGCAACGTCCGAGCCTCAAAAGCTTGGTCTGGGGTGCTTCGAGCACCATGAGCCCAAACACCAGGTTCTTCATCCAAACCTAACTCCCGGTCACACCCACACAAGGCAGCACAGCACAAGTCCACCCCGCCCCCCTCCCGACCATCCAGATGCACCGACATCTTCATCTTCTCTGCCATTATCATCACCATCTCTGCGCCCTGTCGTAGTTCGTCAGAGGACCATTGGATGGCGGGTCTATCGGCGCGTTGCCGGAGCACACTGTGGCCGGAGGACAAAAAATAATTGGGGTTGAGTGGATATTTATACACCGTGTAGTTGGTATGCCTTTTCAAAGTTGCGACGAGTCGCTCGTTGTAGATGGGCAATTTAACCAGTGCACCAAAAACCGCTAGCCTGGGGTTTTTAACGTGCATCACGCAGTATAATACACGACCGCACACCGGTACGATGCTCATCCAGATCAAAACGGGCAGGGGTGGGGATTGAACCCAGGACCCCTGGGTTCTGCAGCGCGAGCTTTCCCTCAAGGTCCGCCGAGCTGGTGTGCGGTAAATAATGGATCCTGGGAAAATAGCGCCAAACTCCTCGTATGGGCGTCAGCTTGGTCCGTGAAAATATTTCCTTGACCCCTCCGTTCTTGGTGAGCCGATATAAATTCGCTGGTGACGGGTAGCTTTATGGAGACGTTTCTTGTATACCGAGATTTTGCTTTCCACACACCGGGGAAACAGGCGTACATCTTCGTACCACCACCACATGTTGTGTCGGTGCTTGAAGGCACTGAACACTAATT